AATAATCGGCAAAAGTTCTCCCTTAATCAGAGATCAGAGGGTGAAAGACCGTGCAAACGTTGCAAATAATATGGATACAGGAGCTGCACTTGAAGTACCCTCCATACGGTACTATAAGATGTACGATATGCTACGGTCACCCGGGTCGTCTCCGACAAACTGTAGGACGTGTTCTTCATGGTCAGGCATACAAGCAGATCTGAGTCTTCCTCGATCCATAGTTTATGGTGCCACAGATCCTGTCCCAACAACGCGATGATAAGCAACAGCAAAGATTAGATTTTTTTGGCTGCCTTCGGTCTGGAAACGCAATTTGATACAACCATGCAAACCTCGCGTCCATTACCATTCGAGCAGCCGTTTGTAAAAAATCATATCGGCCTGCTCAAAATAGCGATTTTTCAAGCATAGCTTAGATGTGGCGCAAGGCCGAACGTATAAAAACCCAGTGAGTATCGAACTCACTACTCAAGCTTGCTAAACAGTGCACTGCATCTAGGTGCCCCCTGCCTGAATATCCTTCCATTGTGAAACGGAACATGGAAGGATATTCATATTGTGATATATAAACATATATCCACAAATCCTTCGTTTTTGAGTTACTAAGTTTAAAGAAAATATACTGTAGATGGCACTGTGTTGTCATGTAGACTAAGTTACATTTGTCATTCGTGTACATTTCCGTTAATTCACTACTACACACGTTAAAATGTGAAGACTAGCCAAGAAATGATTGGTCAATATATGTTTATATGGATTGTGGGATGATAGGATAACACTTTCTGCAATATTTATCATCTCCTTAGGATGCTTTTTTAGCCCCCCCCCCCTGGGAGAATGTTGTATTATGGTGTATGGAGGATTGATTGAAGACTGATGTGTCTTATGGTGAATGAGGAAATTGTAACGAGTGAATGGGTCGTGAATCTGATTAGCTTGGTATAAGATAGTTAGTGAAGACCGGCCTCAACCCATTTCCCCTTTTCGGCTTTGTGCCATAATTGTATTAATTTACAATAAATCTCAACACTTGCTGCAAACATAACCACATGTTCGAGGGTGTTATTAGTTCTAGGTAAATCAGAATTGATTCTCTCAATGCAAGACCACGTACGCATTTCAAGCATAGGTATTTTGAATATTTATCATTTAGTGTAATTGTCCTTTCGATTAATTTTCATTCAAATAATTTACAATACGAATAAATGCTTTTCGAATAATTGTTTGTTCGAATAATTGTAACTTATTCCCTGTTTCAGAAATATGGTTTATGTGAACATTGTAAATTGTTTGAATAAAAATTAATCGAAAGGACAATTATACTAAATGATAATTATTCGAAATGGAAAATTTTTATTGAAATAAAAATGTAAAAATTTAAAGAGGAAATAAACAAATGATAATTATTCGAAATACAAATATCGTTAATAAAACAATTTATTAAGAAAAAATCCTTAAGTTATATGATACTGCACGTAAATAGTCAACTACTGAAGAGTACTAGTTAAAAGGATGCCACTAATTTTTTTTTATTCTTCCATTTATGTCGCCGAATTTCTTCTTGCTCTTGATATTTTGGCAACCCGCTCTTAATTTTGCTGTTCTCTTTTTAAGAATGTCTAAGAATTTCCATATTTGGGATGATGGGATGACAGTTGCTGGAAAAAAAGAAGCATGCCTTATGCCATTCTTCAAAAGCGTTATTAGTTCAAGACTACATACGTATATTTCAAACAGTCATTTCGAATATTTATCATTTAGTATAATTGTCCTTTCGATTAATTTTCATTCAAATGATTTACAATACGAATAAATGCTTTTCGAATAATTGTTTTCGAACAATTTTTTTCGATTTGAGTAACACGGGTCGTATAATCCACAGGAAAATACGGTAAAAAATATTTAGATTTCGATATGATCCATTGGCAGTCTTAAAAACTGACCTACAAGATTATTTCAGTTAGTTGTGTACCATGAGTGATACACAGGCGATATGTATCTTTCGATACATGACTGACGAAACAAATTCCAGTCCTGAAAGTAGGTTGCCATTTTTCATAATAGTTAATTTGCCATCCAAGTCTATAGAACCCGGTCTGTCTTGCTATTTACCCATAGCTGAGGGAGAAGAAAGTATTAGACAATTAATCGAATGTTATGGATTCGACTGGAATTCGAACTCGGTTCTCAATCCGAGCCACTATCAATTATTCCACCGTGTCTCCTTACAAAAAATTTACTTCTCTGGCTAAATTTTCTTCGACAGCAAAAAAAATCTCAGAGTCTAAAAATTTCCATATTGTGTGATGGCGGGATGACGATATTCAGTCACCCCCCCCACGAGGGTGTCATGTGGCACAAGGCCTTTTTGACGTGGGCATTCCGAGCCGGTGGGCTCAGCCCAAAAATATGCCCATTGAACACGTATAAACGGGTTCAGGGCCGGTTTTTTGGTTTGAAGGAGAAAAAACCCTTCGGCGTACTTACAGAAAGTACTGGGTTTAAAAAAAAAAAAACAAAAAAAGAAAAAATAACTATGCAATCCTTCAAGGACGTTATTAGTCGTAGGTAAATCAGCATTGGCGCTCTCAAAGCGAGGCCACGTACGTATTTCAAGAATAGGTATTTTTGAATAATTATCATTTGATATAATTGTCTTTTCGATTAATGTTCATTCAAACAATTCGAATAATTGTTTTTGAATAATTATTTTGGAACAATATTCTCGATTCCCTTAGCACGGAGAATTCGTATTCTATTTTTACTGTTGCTACATTATTGACCGTCGTTATCCAAATTTACGTGAAATAAATCATTATTAATCTCCAAATAAAAGCCATGACAGTTCTCTTTAAATGATAAGAGTTATTCACGACAATTCTCACGATGAAAATTACCCATACTGTATGAATTGTTATTTTATCATCATGACCAGTCGGTATTAATATTAGATCACTGGAGACATATATAAGTTCTCAGTTCTTGAAAGATTTAGCTATTATCAAAGGGACAATTCAATTTATTATTACACTAGCTTAAAAGCCGCCCTATCAGTCGGGATTTAAGCTAGCTCCTGCTAAGGACTCTTGATTGGGCCTTCATCACAATAGATAGGGAAGGAAACAATAAACTACTGAAGAACCCAGAATTGATCGCATTTAAGTATTGCATCGATATTTAAGCTTATCTTTTAAAAGTTCAACGATAATTTTTCTGCCCATATATAAAAAAAAGATTAAAAATAATGGAAAAATTGATAATAAGAAAAGCCAACATTCAATAACATCAACTGTGAATACGGTCAAAATATGCTGACCGTGTTTGGGAACGAAAAACATTCCCATTACTCTAGATATATACATAAAAATATACACATTCAGTTAGAATTAAAAATTTAAAAAAAAATCCTTGATAATGGCTAAAAAAAAAAAATAGCCAAAAGCGCTCGGGCATGAAAAAAAAATCCAAAAACAAAAACATTCAGACAATTTTTACACAACTTATGTCCAGAAAAGAAAAAAATCTTATAAGAACACAAGAAAAATTAAATAACAATCTTAACCGTAGTACCTTGTCTGCCGTCTTTAATGAAACTTGTGTGTGGTAGGGATGTTTTTAATTTCCGAATACGGTCAGCACATTGTGGCCTTGTTCGTAGTTAATATTGTTAAGAGTTGGCTTTTTCTTTTTTATTATTAAAGATTCCATTATTTTTAGTCTTTCTTTGACAAGTGGATGCAGTTAATATATTTGTGTTTTCTACTAGTATGTTTTTAATGGAGTCTGGTAAATTTGTGTGTGTGTTTAACTGGGTTCTAATGGAGCTGTGATCAGATAGGTGTAACGTAAAACGTCTGGATAAGCATATATATATATATATATATATACATATATATATATATATATATATATATATATATATATATATATATATATATATATATATATATATATATATATATATATATATATATATATTTAGCCAGCAGTCATTCATTTATACATGTTTAAAAAAGACGACAGACAAGGTACTGCGATTAATCTTTTATTTAATTTTTCTTGTGTTCGAACACGTGGTTTCTTTTCTGGACACAGTGTGTGTAGAAACTGTCCAAATGTTCTGTAATTACGAGCGTTTTCGGATATATTTTTAGCCATTGTAAAGGATGAGTTTATTTTTAATTTTTAACTGGGTGTATGTTTCTAGAGTTATAGGGATGTTTTATTTTCCGAACACAGTTTGTATTTTCGACTAGTATGTTTCGAATGGAGTCTTGTATGTTTGTGTGTATGTTTAAATGGGTCTTATAGAGCTGTGGTCAGATATCTGTAACGTAAGGCGTCTGTGTGTCCAGAAAAGGAAACACTTGTTCGAACGCAAGAAAAATTAAATGAAAAGCTTGTCAGACACTTGAAATAGACATATCTGCTCAGTTTCCTATATTAACGCAAATAAGGTGGGGGTGGATATTTTACATAGTAATCCGACAGATTTTGATTACATAAACTTTATTCTTAGTGAAATACTTTTATTTGAGAAGATGATCCGTTTCAGTTTGGTTCTCTGTGTCATGTCGGAAAGGTTTTTCTTGTCTGAGTCCATCTTTCAAATCTATAAATCAATCTTCCGTCCATGCATGAAATATTGCTGTTATTTATGGTCTGGTGCTCCCGTTGTACGTCTCGAC